TTAGCCTCAGTCTAATTTAGCTGCCCAGTTCCACCCACCAGGTTCTGACCGGGGTTCAAAGGGAGTTCTGCTCCCAACGCCCAGTCATGTGGAGTAACTCGGACCCTCGGCAAACCCGCAGGGAGTGAGGGTGGGAAGGCAGGGGTGGATTGCCTACAGTAGTATTCAGCATCAGAAAATAATCAAAAGGGATAGTAATTCAGATCCTAATGAGCAAGGTTTAGTTTTTCTGTCAAGTGCAGGGGGTCTGTTTTCGGAGCCCAGCCGAGTGAGACCTGAATTTCCACGGCTCCCGGGACCATGGGGCCTGGCACCCCCAAGCCCGGCCGCCTGGGGACCTCCGCATTCCCAGGGCGACGGACGCAGGTCTCGCCGGGCCCGTGGAGATCTGGCCAGCGAAGCGGAGATCTCAAGGCGTCAGGACGCAACCAGGCCGCGGGGAGGGAGGCCGGCGCCGTGTGGAATGTCTTTATCGGCATCAGAGAGCCACAAGTTTCTCCTTCGCTGCTTTAAGCGATCACGGATAGACACCTTTCGATCTTTTGTCAGACATCTTGGCCCTTAATAGCTAAATTTATTTGGTTTAAAGCGGCCGTGGGAGAAGCCGGGAGGGAAGATCTTTCGTCGGTCATGGGTGGCCTAGATAACAGGCTTTAAAAGAGGGAGGGAAGAAGAAAGTAAAAAGGTTAATGGATGAGGGGAGGGCTAGGAGGCGCCCAGCGTGGGGCTTTTACAGCGACCCTCCTCCCGCCGCCCCCTTATCGCGGCCCTAACTTACCCGCGGCGTATGAAATACATTAAATCACGTAAACAGCGCGCGGGGAGGAATGCCACCGCGATGACCTCTCGCGCGCCGCCGCAGCGAGCCCACCTCCGCGCCGTGCTAGCGGCCGCTGGCGGGGGGCGGCCCGGGACTGCGGGGCCGGGGGCGGCCGGGCCGGGCCTGCAGCCGCCGAGCGCCGGGACGCGATGCCGACCGCCCGGGCTCGCCGCTGGCCGGGAGAGTTCCTTACCCGAAGTGACCCGCGGCGGGAAAAGGGGGTGGGGAGCTGGGGGGGGGGCGACCCAATTTTCTAGGCTGCGCAGTTTCGTGCCCCCCCACCCCCGCCACCATCTGATTATTTCTAACGTGTATTTTTGGGCTTTCAAGAATTAAAACAAAACAAAACCAAACCACCCGCCCTCCCCCACCCCAAACATCGTCAGGACTCTCCGCAAGCGCCCGCACTGGACTGACAGCGGCTGAGTCCGAGAACAGGCCGCCCGACCCGACTATTGGGCTCCGAAGGATGGCTGGGGTGGGGGGACACCAGGGTGACCCCTGTCCTTCAGCAGAAGCGTCGCAGGGACGGTAAGAAATCCGGTATAGGCAAGAAGGTCCTAGAGATGTGGCTTTGTAAAAACTCAAGTTTAAAACTAAGTAAGTCACAAATTCTCAAGTGTCGCTGGAGCAGCCGGGAGCTTTGGGGAACTGACAGCGTAATGAGCTTAAGTTTGCAGGGGTCAAGGCGTGTCGTTATGCGGGCCCCCGCCCGGGTGTCACAGCTCCTCTGGAAGCAGAGCGTGACTGGGTCCCCAAACATCCCTTCGCATTTAGCAACAAAGCCTCCGCCCCCTGCCCAATTGGCTGCTCTATTCTGGCTGGATTCGAATCGCGAAGAGTAGTGTGGCGGCGCGCCCCAAATAAATCAGCCCTGGGGACAGGTCGCGCCCCAGAGCCAGCAACTCTCCGAGGACGAGGAGGGGGGCTCGAGGACGGAAGGCACACTCCGGAGGGACCACTCCTTGAGTCTAAATAGTCGGGAGAGAAAGAATTTCGTTTAAGATTAGCAATCCCTCCACCCCCAAAGGAGATAGGCAAAAGAAAAAGAAGAAAGGAAAGGAAAGGAAAAGAAAGGAAAGGAAAGGAAAGGAAAGGAAAAAGAAAAAAGAACCACGAAGAAAATAGAACTGTTAAGAGCCTATTTACTGGTGAACTATGGGGGGACTTCTCCAGTTCTTGGGATTCCTCCCTAGTTTAGGGTAAACTTCTTTCCTCCGCGTTCCCTATGATGCCCGCCTTCCCGGACCAACTGGGGTACTCACAGGAAACTCAGAGCGCGGAACCTGGGAACCCCTAGGGGGTGGCTTTGAAAATGTGCCGCTCCTCCCCACCCCGGGAGTGGAAGTTTTCCCCGGGGCTAAATCCAATTCTTGGGGAAAATGGTAAACTGGATGGGTCAGGCTTTACTTGCCTTTCCGCCTGAAGAAACTCTGCGGGTTTAAACAGTTTTGATTTTAAGTTAACTAGAAAGAAAAATATTTTACTATCCATTCCCTCCTTTAGTTGGAAAACCAATCTAAAAAACTGCTACCGTGCAAAGGAGCAAATTACAACCTCCCACCCTTGCTTTAGGCAGTGTTAGATTGGGAATCAGGAAAGTTAAAAAAAAAAAAAAATGCCGGGTCCCTTCTCGAGCCCTTAGAAAGGACAGGCTATAGTCAGCGTTTGCCCCGCTGCTCACCTCTGTCCCAGCGGTCCCAAGGCCAGCGCACCCTCTCACAACCGCTGCGAAGCTGTGGGAAAAGCAGGTCCCTAGGGCTTTAGCTGTTGTCCAAGGAAATTCACACAGACACCTTCATACTTGCTAATATAAAGAAATACAACAGGAACCAAATTCAGGGCTAGGTCTCCTCAGGGCTCAGGCTTGGAGGCCGTTCACAGCTTAAAATCTAAAGAGAATTTTTAAAAAACTCATCTCTATTGGAAATCACCTCACTGAGATAATTAAGAAAAAAACCAACTGCTTTCAAGAGTAAAACCGAAAAACATTTGAAAACAGTTGGACTCAAAGGAAAGTCAAACGTACACAACGTTTCTGTATCTGCTGACAAATGAGCTTCTGAAAAACTCAAAATTTGGTCGGAACTCAGGCAAAAGCCAAAAGAGAAGGCTTTGGAAGCCTTGGTTAAGTGGGAGGTGGACACCGGGTCATCTCTTCTGCTAGTTCCATTCGATCGAACTCAGGTTAAATTTTAAAGTCCTGAATCCTGCTCCGGTGCCAATCTCTGTTCCAGAGTTTTCCACCTTCACTCTTCCAGAATTGTGGCCACATTGAAACTGGGAGCCACCACAGGGATTGGGGAAAGCAAAGAGTAACGTAATAAAAGTGGCTAAACTGGATGAGAACGGTTTATGGACCGCTGTAAGAGCAGTTTAAAATTCAAAGTGTTTAGCAGCAATTTACAACGAAGAATGGAAAAAAAATTCTCGCCAACTTCCTCGATTTCGCTCTCTTCCCCTCACTGCCAGGCCTTGTCCCCTTCTCCCCCTAGAATAGACAGGCTCACAGTTCACATTTATGTTGAGAGAAAACATACGTTTAACGACCAGGTCTCCTAATCTCTCAGAATCATTATTTTACAACGCCCCTACCTACCTACGCCGGTTCAACTCTGCGTAGGCTCCTCTCCCCTCCCCAACTGGAAAGACGCAAAATCAAAACCAACACAGAAACAACAACAACAAAAAACCCCCCAAAGAACCCAAAATCCTTCTAGGGAGACTGACCTTTAGAAAATCATTTAACATCGATTTACCTGGGAGAAAAATGTGAAATCCATCCTCACAAAGCAACTCCTGCTGCCCTAGTTAAAATTCTCTCTCCGCGGCCTTCTGGGGTCGCGTCTGTCGGAAGAAATCTTTTTGTGCGCGAAAGGGAGCGGAGACATATATCACTGCTCCTGCGGCGTACGAACCCGCAGCCGTGCGCCTCGCTGCTGACAGATCCGCGCTGATAACCCCGCGACGTTCATTTCCAGTCCCTTTGCCGGCTCAGCACCGTATCAGTTTGTACACAGTTGTGATAACCATTTGGAGGGAGCGAAGAAGGGGTGTGTATGTGAGGGTGAGGGTGGGGGTGGGGAAGCGGTATTTCCCGCTGGGTCCAGGGAAGGTGAACCCCCTCCCGCCTTTCCAACGACTTATCCGGAGACTTACCTGAAGTTTTCTCCAGGATAAGCTCAGAGCAAACGGGACACGAAAACTTGGAAAGCACCTCGGGACGCTACTGGGGTGGAAGCCCTTTTCATTACGCGCACCTTTGGGGACTAGACTTTACGTATACCACTACCCCGAATTAAAAGTTCCTGAAGGTTAGCTGATGTGTCGACGTAAACGTCCCGAAACCTCCTAGGAATTTTGTCTGTTTCTAGAAAGCAGGGCACAGACAGGGAGCTGAGCACTGGAGTTCCTTCTTTCCCGTATCTTTGGAACCTCGATCCCCGACGGTCACCACGACCCAGGGGCTCGATTAGAGGTCGGTGAAAGTTTAAGGTAGTTCACATACAAAGGCGAGCATAAAGCTCTTTTAACGTGGACTGAGGAGCGGGGAAGGCCCGAGGAGCAAAGCACTTTCCCCCTCATTCTGGGGGCACATTGACCCGAAAGCTGGAGCGTCCCTCCCGCCTCGATGGCTGCGCTGGGCTGTGTACAGCCAACTCCTCTCGTGCCACCCCCCCCCCCCCCCCGCCCCCGTTGAGTGCGTGTGTAACTGGGGGCGGAGGAAAGTGCTGCGCCGGGTGGGTGTGGGTCGCCAGCCAGGTCAAGCGTTCCGCCACCTCTGCCCTTCCCCGGGTGTCCCAGGACTCGGCGCCCCCTCGATGGACTGGCCCCCTCCCAGGAAGGTACTCGCAGCTCGGCCCACACCCGCAGGCTGCGCGGCGCTCATTGTCTGTTGGGGTGGCGCGCTCCCCTCCCCCCGCCGCCCGCGATCCCCTCCCCACCCTCTTTTCTCTCCTCCCCTCGCTCCCTCCTCCTCCTACTCCTCCTCTTCACCTCCAGCGCCCAGCTGCTCGCACAGCGCAGTTCCGACCCACAGCCTGGCACCCTTCGGCGAGCGCTGTTTGTTTAGGGCTCGGTGAATCCAATCAGGAGCGCAGGCTGCAATTTTCCGGCAGAGCAGTAAGAGGCGCCTCCTCTCTCCTTTTTATTCACCAGCAGCGCCGCGCAGACCCCGGACTCGCGCTCGCCTGCCGGCGCCCACAACCTCTCTCCACGCCCGAGAGCAGTCTCCGTCGCGGCCGTTCTCCATGCGCAGCGCGCACTCGAGGTTCGGCTGCTTTCTCGCTTGCTCGGGCTCCCCTCTTCCTTCCCTCTCCCCCCGCACCCGTCGCGGGCCCCTCTGCCCCGGGCTATCCGACTCTCTGCGGGCCGCGGCTGGCTATGCGGTGTCTCCCTTCTGTCGCGGCTGGCTGTAGCGACTCCCAGGTTCCCGGGACACCGTGGACCAACTTCTGTTGTCTCTTCCTCTCCCCGAAGCGCTTATCTGCGCGCAGCCTTATCTCCGAGTTATCTGGCGCAAAGGGGCGGGAGCCGGCAGTCAGGCGGGCAGAAAGATTTCTTCCTTGCTATCTAGCCCCGGTCTGTGTGTGGGCATTAATTTTAGTATGGTTATCTCGGAAGAGTCGAAGCGATTTGGAAAACCAGTTCGGAGGAGGCCCGTCCGGCTGCATTTCGTCTCCCTACCCCACTCCCTCCGAGTCTCCCCCTCTTTTCTCCCTGCTCTCCTCTTTGGGGGTAGCTTCGGCCGCGGGGCGGTCTCACGCCCCCCCCCCCCCTTGCATTTCCCCCTCCTCCTTTTCTCTGCGCTGCGCTCCACCCCGCTACGTCCGATTCCGGAACGGTCTGGCCTTTTCGGCGGCTGGGGATGACCACGGGGTGGGCGGGGGTGGCCCAGCCGGCGTGAGCGCACGCGCTGGTGACTGCAGACGCCAGCCTGGTGTAAGGTGTGCGGCGCCACGGGGAGGAGGGTTGGGCGTGAGACTGCGGCCCCGCGGGCACCCAGCAGTGCCTGGGCCCGGAAGGTCAGAGACTCGTCTCCGCCCCGGCGCCCCACCTTCCCTGGGCTGGATCGTACTTCTCTCCGGAGCTCGCGTTCTGTCTCGTCAAGCTCAGTCAGGGAAGCTCTGGGAAAGCCAGTGTGAGAAAAGGCGGCGGTTTCGTTTTCGGGGACAGGTTGCCTTTTTTAGGCTAATGATTTTTGCGCGGCCAGACTTCACACTGAGGCATTTCAGGCCGGGGGCATCCATAGGGAGGCGGGAGAAGGCAGCGCCCACAAGCACAACTACTTAAAAAATTCTTTTGTGTGTCAGCGGCCGAAAGGGAGTCACTTCGGGGGCGGAAGGAAAACGGCGGCTAGTCTCACCGTCACTCCTGGGATCTGGCGCGCGCAGATGGAGGATGCTGCGGAGCGGGGTGGGCGGGAAGGCGAGGGGACCCAGGCGGTGCAGACGAGGGAGGGCGGATATCCCGGTCCTGGGAGGACCCTGCGGCGGCTGTCCAGGCTCCGATCCCCTTCTCTCCTCATCTCCCGCTCCCGGGGCATCAACGGGATATTTGAGTATACCCATTAGCTAGATAAGGCAGTGGGAATGAGGTTTTATGCGGCCTACGGTTCTGGTAACTTTCTCCCCCTGTTCTTGCCTCTCCTCACTCCGCCTCAGGAGCTAGAAGTTAGCTTGGAGAGGCGCCGGACCGTGGATGGCCTTGACTGACGGCGGCTGGTGCCTGCCGAAGCGCTTCGGGGCCGCGGCCGCGGACGCCAGCGACTCCGGAACCTTTCCAGTGCGGGAGCCTTCCACGCCGCCTTCCCCCATCTCCTCCTCTTCCTCCTGCTGCTCCCGGGGTGGGGAGCGTGGCCCCAGCGGCGCCAGCAACTGCAGGACGCCGCAGCTCGACACGGAGGCGGCGGCGGGACCCCCGGCCCGCTCGCTTCTGCTCAGCCCGTACGCCTCTCATCCCTTCGGGGCTCCCCACGGACCTTCGGCGCCCGGGGTCGCTGGCCCCGGGAGCGCCTTGTCGAGCTGGGAGGACCTACTGCTCTTCACTGACCTCGACCAGGCCGCGACCGCCAGCAAGCTGCTGTGGTCCAGCCGCGGCGCCAAGCTGAGTCCCTTCGCACCCGAGCAACCCGAAGAGATGTACCAGACCCTCGCCGCTCTCTCCAGCCAGGGGCCGGGCGCTTACGACGGCGCGCCCGGCGGCTTCGTACACTCAGCAGCCGCCGCCGCCGCAGCCGCCGCCGCGGCCAGCTCCCCGGTCTACGTGCCCACCACCCGCGTGGGCTCAATGCTGCCGGGCCTGCCGTACCTGCAGGGGGCGGGCAGCGGGCCCGCCAACCACGCGGGCGGCGCAGGCGCGCACCCTGGCTGGCCTCAAGCCTCGGCCGACAGCCCTCCGTACGGCAGTGGAGGCGGTCCGGCGGGCGGCGGGGCGGCGGGGCCCGGGAGCGCCGGCTCCGCCGCGGCGCACGTCTCTGCGCGCTTCCCGTACTCGCCCAGCCCGCCTATGGCCAACGGCGCGGCTAGGGACCCCGGGGGCTACGCTGCAGCTGGTGGCGGGGGAGCCGGAGGCGTGAGCGGCGGCGGCGGCGGCAGCTTGGCGGCCATGGGCGGCCGCGAGCACCAGTACAGCTCGCTGTCGGCCGCGCGGCCGCTGAACGGGACGTACCACCATCACCACCACCACCACCCGAACCCCTACTCGCCCTACGTGGGTGCACCGCTGACCCCCGCATGGCCCGCAGGACCCTTCGAGACCCCAGTGTTGCACAGCCTGCAGAGCCGCGCGGGAGCCCCGCTCCCGGTGCCGCGGGGCCCCAGCGCAGGTAAGGGGGTATCTGCTGCGTGGGAGTGGGGGCCTGAGGCTCTGGAGCGGACGGGGGTGTGGAACACCTATTTGACGTGGGTTTTGTTCAAAGGGCTTTTCTGTTTTTGGTGCCTAGAGGTCGGCCGAGCCCCAGGGAGGATTTGCAGAACTTTGGCAGGTCCACCCCAGAGTCTGGCAGTGTCGATGAGGTGCTTCTGTTTTGTGGATTGTTTCGGTTCCTTTTCACGAAGGAGGTTTAGGGCGCGTGTACGTCTCACTACCTTGGAGAAGCTCAAGGGGCATGAAAAGTGAATGGGGTGGGCAAATTGGAAGAAAAGGGCCTGGGAAGGAACTTGTCACCGTCTCTAGTTTGCCTTAGTGGAAGATTGAGACTTTTGGCGGGGCGGGGGGGGGGGGAGTTTGGGAGGGTGTTGGGCAGTTGCTTCACACTCCCTTCAAATAAATAGTTTTTGCTAGTTCAGTTCTGTAGAGGTGAGGCATTGTGTTTCTGTCAGGGAGGGTATTTAAGAATTCCACTGTGGAAAAGATGCTAAGGAGCTAGCTGGCTTGGTCCTCGGTGAGAGAGAGAGGGAAGAGGGTACCTGGACTGGTCAGCCTTGTGACTATCCCAAGGGAAAGCTGGTGGAGGGGCCCTTTTGCTTGACATGTTTGGAGTTGGTTCTGCTGCTGGCCCCTGCCAGCCCTGGGAATCAGGGATCCTGGAGGTCCCACATCACTCCCAAGTCCAGAGTTCAGCCTGCCACTTTTTAAGGTTTTCCATGCCACCCGTACCTTTTCTTTCAGTGTTTGGGGGCAATGCGGAGTGAACTGGGAAAACACAATTGTCAAAACACCTGGAAACACCCCAGTGTGAAGAGTGGTTTTTTTGCTCAAGCAGAGATTATGAACTGTGGTGTCTGGCCTGACAAGGCGCTCGGGGGATGCAGTATTCTGGGTTCTTCTAGGTGCTTTCAGGGGTGTCTGTCTTTGTATTTAACCTGTTGATAACATGACAGACTTCCAAGTCAAAATCTTGTTGGGGGCGACAGGGGCTAGTTGTTTGTTTGAGGGGAGGTGTGAGAGAGAGGTGGCAAAGAGGCAGGAGACATGTCAGCCTAAATTATCCTACCTGGTGTTTTCACACTCCAGGTCTGGCCTTTTCTTGGGAGCCTCAGTGTTCCTTTTTGGGAAGACAAATCTTTCAGGGGCCCTAACTAGTGGAGTGAAGTGATGAATTGCCAGCCTTGTATTCAGAAGGCCTACTGGAAAATGCCAGGGGCCTGAAAGCGAAGGATGTGACTTGAACCCTCCTCCTAGTAACACTGGGAGGGGGGCAACAGGCTTTTTGGTAGCAGGTTCTTCTCCTTTTCTTTCTGTCTCCCAAGATTCTGGTCTCAGAATTCCCTCCTCTTTCCCTCTGCAAAAGTGGCCCTGGAGACCGTCTTTACCGTCGTGGAGAGTGGGTGTGGAGGGCCCTGTTGGAGTACAGACTTGAGAGCAGAGCATTGTCACCCGTTGGGCAGCATAGGGACCCACGGCTGGTTCCCCTGCTGGAGCTGAGAGACTGGGAGATGAAGATCTTCAAAGAATGACGGGGGTGGGGGGGGGTAGGGTGAGGCTTTCGTCAGGAATCCAGCTGGGAATCCAAAAAGGGCGTGTGAATTGGGTAGGGGGCACCTCCATTTGGAGCCAGATTCTGCAGCAGCACCTGTTTCGGGTGGGGACACACCTTAGTGTGGTCTCCCTACCCCTCTCCCCGTAGTCTTCCGGCATTTCACAGGCCTGAGAAAGAGAAGTTCCCAGAAGACCTAATCAGAGTCTTCTGATGTTTTAAGGCAACTTGTTTTGTATAGAAAATCATTTCATCATTTCAGAAGCAGTATGCTGCAATTGCAGGCGAGTTAACAGATTTCATTTAAAACCAGCTTCTTATACTACCAGTTTTTCACTGAACTTCGATAGGACATTGCAAAATTACAAAAATACTCTAGATCCCAGAGTATGTTAAAACAGCAAGAACCAAAAATTCTGGGGAGGGGCTTGGGAACACCCAGCTTTTGCATAGAGTGTTGAAAGGCAGCAGGACGCTACTGAGAATCAGCTGGTCTGGGGGTGGGGGAGGCGAAAGACCTAATTTTTGTTGCCCTCACCGGCGTTCTACGAAGTAGAGAAACCTTGACCTCCAGCCGTTCTTCTCCCGCTTCCTAGCTAGATTCCTTTTTCCACTTTGAGAACACCATTTTTGAAGGTACTCTTTAATTGAGCCGGGCAAACAGTAGGGCTAAAACCTGAGCCCTCAGCGTTTTCAACCTATACAGTGCAGAGGCTTTCGGGAACCTGCTGGATTTTGGTGGTGGGTGGGTGGGTAGGGGGTTCCTGGGGTGAGTCTTCACAGTGATTCAGTCCCTGAGCTCAGCGGCCTCCTAAACCCCCGCTGAAGTGTGTTCCATTCTTTGGGTCCCGGGATGGCATTCGCTGGTGTGCTCTGCTTCCCAGAGCCTTTTATTTTCTCCCGGGAGCGGGGGGGTGCAAATCAGTCCTGTTGGGAGATGATGCGTAGGGGGAAACTGGTGAACAAAAACGTCAGCACTTTCAAGATTTTCTAATTGTTAGAGTTTTTCTTACGTTAGTCCGTTGTAGATGGTAGCCGCTGGGTAAGGGGTAAGCAGTAGGGAGAAAATGGGAGCTCTAGATGAGATTTAATTAGACATAAGCAAACTTCCTAAATTTTACTTACCAAAATGGAGTTTAAAGTTTTGTCTTTGGGTTTTCAGATGACTAAAGCGATTTGCCTGGATTGTTCAGTCTTCTCCTGGGAGTCTTCATTGTTTCCAGCCTGGGGGAAAGGAGGCCAGGAGTAGGGCTGGGTTCTCCAGGGAATGCCCCCACTCCTCTATCGAGAGGGTCTCTGATAGGTAACATTTTAAAGTCAACAACTAAGACAAATACCTTGTTTAACTTCAGTGTCCTTGAAGTCCTGAGCATTTTACTGATTACCGTAGTCAATAGTGGCTTTTAGGGGGGAGAAGAATAAATCTTTGTGATGTGTTGTAAGTTGCAGTGTCCTGCGACAACTTTGAACTCCAGTTATGTAGGATGCTAGTTTCTTTTAAACTTAATTCTTCAGGAGGCGGGAGACTTGTTTTCTGGGGTAAATAGATTAATGGAGTTAAAAGAGTATTCATGCCAAAGACATTTAAATATCTTTGCAACTAGTAGTTGATGGTAGAAACCAGCTGTAAACTGCTCAGGGATGAGAAGAAAAGGTTTGCTAGCACACATTTTCAAATAAAGCTTTAAAATATAATGTTTATTTACTTTAAAAATTAATTCTGAAACGCTTCATGAAGAAAAGCCAAATTTAGATATTTAAATCCTCTATAAATAACCCTAAAGGCATTTTTACTTTTACGAAGTGTCTTTTTAAAGTACTTAATAAAAAAAAAAGTACTTAATAAGTACCTATCTCATTTTAGATAGTATTTATTCATTCATAGTCAACAAATTTAAGCGGAAGTAATAAATGTTACAACCATTTATTCCTGATTTTTTTTCTCTTACTAACAGGTTTAAGTTAGTTGTAAACACCAAAAATGAACCAAATAGTAACAAAAAGTGACAAAATTTAGGTATCTTGAAAGTTTAGTGTATGAAAATGTGAAAGCTTCATTGAGCGTTTTATGTATGAAAATTTTATTTAGTGATGTTCTGAGTCAATAAAATACCAGCTGTTTGTAGATAGAAGCAGTTAGACCTATGTGGAACTCAAAATATATTAGTAAAGTTTTAGTTAAGTTTTACTTAAGTCTTGTGGCATGAAAAGAAAACTTAACATTTATCCCTGTGCTTGTTAATGTTGGTGCTTTTTTCCTCTGGGGAGACCTGAGTCACTTATAGTCAACTGAGAAAGTGCCCAAGAACAGTATTTCTGATTTTTACGTGTCCTTTTTTTTTTTTTTTTTTTTTTTTTAATTAGAGAAAAGGAAGGGTGACAGACAGTAAATACTTTAAAAATTACTTGGGATAAAAGTAATAAGGTTGCCCGACTGTGTCCCAGGATATTTGTGGGCTCGGTGCAGGGGTCAGTGATAAGTGTTGATACTGTATGGTCGGCTCGGTTTGGCAAGTGGCACACTAATTATGATGGATTTCAGTTTTGAGACGCTTGGGAACAGCCGGAAAGGAGGGGCCAGGGGACCCAAACCGACTTGGCCGCAGCTTCTCTCACCTCCGAGGTCCTTGGGAGACTGAAGGCAGATGACTTGGGCTCGGCCTGCAGCACCATCTCCTGCTCTTTCCTGGGGTTTCACTGGGCGCGCCCAGGGCTGCAGAAGTATTGGACAAACGCTCGATAGCGACCACGGCCGGCTCCTGACTTGGCTGCTGGGCAGAGAGAGCCGTGGGGAAGGGCGCGGGCGGGGAGGCGGGCAGCATGTTGGAGCCCTGGGGCCAGGGGTACCGGGGGTCTTCCGGGGAGGAGGGGAGCGGCGCGGCCTCACCGGGCCTCTTGTCCCCGCTCTCGCCGTAGACCTGTTGGAGGACCTGCCCGAGAGCCGTGAATGCGTGAACTGCGGCTCCATCCAGACGCCGCTATGGCGGCGGGACGGCACCGGCCACTATTTGTGCAACGCCTGCGGCCTCTACAGCAAGATGAACGGCCTCAGCCGGCCCCTCATCAAGCCGCAGAAGCGCGTGGTGAGTGCGAGCGCCGTCTTCGCCTTCGGCTGGGTCCTGAGCGGCGCTCCTGCTGTGGCCCAGGCGCTGCCGGCTTGTCCTGGGGACGTCCCCGCGGGAACAGGTGCGGCGCGGCCCCGGGGGCGCCGCGTCTGCCGGAGCGCGGGGACTCACATGTCCCCTTCACACCCCCGAGCTCCCGAGTGCAGGTTGCCCCGAAACCAGCGTCTGGGGGACGAAAGATAGCCTTTCCCTCACATTTACACCCAGGGCATGAGGTCTATAAACGTGGGAGGAGAAAGGTGTAGGGAGCTCCCATTTTAAAAATAACACACAAGTCTGTAATAGATCTATCTCTAGATGTACTTATAAGTGCACTAGAAAGATTCTGAAGGACACATAGTAATGACAGTAACCTCCGGGGAGGAAAACTGAGTATACCAATCCCGGTCAGAGGAAGCGGGGAGATCTTTTTCCACCGTGTACTGTTAGCTCTGGGTTTGGATTTTATTTTTGAAAAACCGTGCTTGTTTATTCCCCGCCCCCCGAATATGACAGTCACAAACGCACACTGGCTTTCTCCACACAGCTTCATTCAGGGTTCCTTTGATGCTGTTCTTACACCTTTGGGTCCCATCTACCTCTTCTCCTGTGAAGTGAGACAGATTTTAGCCCCCAAATTCCCTCCCCTCTTTTGGATTGCCTTTGAGTTTGTTGAAAATTTCCGCTAACGTTTGTTACTTTTGAAATCTAGCTGTTCAGAACACTACATAGAACTTAAAGGGGGGAAAATGCAGTCGTAGGTGCTTCTCAAGTTGGGATTTTCACAGTCCAAACGCATTTTTTTACTGTTTTAAATTAAGGAATTCTGATTCCTTCAGGGATAAATCTTAGAGTTAGGTGTGGTTTTCGGAGAGGGCATTTACCGCTGTAGTGATCAGAGAAAATAAATGAAAGTGTTCACAGGCCCCACTGTAGGGCTAACATTTGCTTAACCAAGCATTCATACTCTTAATACCTTTTAAAGTAAAATATTTTACAGTGAGATGCCAGACATCTTAAGTATCCAAGTAATTTATTTAATTGTTATACTCTAATTAGCAGGAACAAACGCTACACATGTTGTTTGTGTTAAATAGATTAGGGTGATCTTGCATCACAATGGAAGTCTGACACCTTAAAGAGAAGCAATTAGTTTTATGGTTGTTTTGTTTTTAATGCATTTAAAATAAAGTGGCTGAGGCTAATTTAATGTATGTGCCTTAAACTTGTTACAACCTCCCACAGCTTAAAATAGTCTTCAGAGGGCAATCCTGCATTTCGTTTCAGCATCTGCCTTCCTATGGTTTTCATTTCTTAACGCATCATATTAAGAAAAAGTAGTGGCCAGAAAATATCCTGAGAATTTTGTTGTTTTCGTGTCTGAACAGTGAAACTGATTTTTTTTTTTTTTTTTTTTTCTGGAAAGGTACACTGAACTGAGTTCTAGCTGAGTTCAGCAAGGTCACCTTTTCTTGAGATTGAGGGAAAAACTGGTAGAACTCCCAAGTAGCTGATTAGGTTCTAGTTGGATTCTAAATTTGATCTAGTAACATCCATGTTTAGAAGTGCCATTTGTTTTGTGCACTTAACCAGGAAAGAGTTTTGAACATCTCCTAAATCTGTTGGTCTTCCTTCTGTGTGGCAGGTGTCTTGGCCGTGACCAAGGTCAGCCATTGTGCTTTGTAAATGGATTATAAATGATACCAATTGAAGGGCGTGTTCATCAATTAGTTCTTGTGGGCTTCTTATTTATGGTTTTGATGGATCTAGCTTAGTTCTCAGAAAGTTGAACCCAAGTTTGTTTAGCCAGCAGTCCAGAACCAATCACTGTGAATTTGAACTTGTAATACATTGCAAAATAAGAGATTTATGGTGTAACTTGAATTCCTTGTCAGTGATGAATATAACTGAGATCACTTGTTACAAGGAACTTTATAACCCATTCACCTTCATTTCTCATGTTTATGGAGACTGGCTTCACTTATGATTTGCAATTGACAGTCATAAAGTTCTTTGTTACAATGGCAAATTCTGATAACAAGGTTACTTCACGTTGGCTTCAAATTCCACTGGAAACTGTCATAAATGACCTGTTTATAAAATGAACCTCCTTGTCCCTAGTTCGCTGATTCACATTCATGAAGAGAAAGGCGTGCTCTCCTAGGAAATTATTTTATTGTAACAATAAAAGGAAAAAGAAAGCAACAAATCCCGATGCGTAAGGTTTTATATGTTTTTATCATTTTAGCAAAAACAGTCCCACAAATGGTTTGCCTGTCAGGCAAGCATGTTCATTTCAACCAAAAGTCAATCTGTTTTTTCATAGCATTGAGTTTTAAGCTAAGAAGTTTACCAGTGTCTATGATTTGTGTGTAAAGGATAGTGCTACAGTAATACAATAGGATGTGAATTGCAAAATAGGATGTAAATGCAAAATTCAATATTTTTTAAATATGTAAGCGGAGGATTTGATAAATCTGTCCTTAAACCTGTGGCTATTCAGTACACCCTCAATTCCTGTTTTTATTGTACATCTCGAAAACTATTCTTTTCTGAAATTGGTATAGCTAACTTCTGAATTCTGTCAAAAAAAACATTGACTTACGTTTGTCCTTGGATTTTTCCTCACAGCTTTTTTTCTGAAGTCATTACGGTGTTTTTTAGTTGCCTATCTAGGTAATTTTAAAAACAAATTTAGATTTTGGCATTTGGGGTAGGAACTTACACTACTAGCTTAAACTCTCCTTCTTTATAACTCACACATAATTCAGATGAGATAAATTCCCTCTAAGGATGTTACGGGCATAAAGGGAACATGGAAATCAGAATGACAGTGCCTTTTCTGATAATACCATGTAATTCTTCCTATAAGCAAAAGTTGGGACTCTACTAACAGGGAAAGAAAATACATCCCTATCACTGTAAGACAATGCCAGCATTAAAACAGTGCTGTAACATTTGCTTATCCTTTGTATGCTTATCCTTTGTAAAACGAATACAAGAATGCAGGTGGCAGGCAACTGTGATAATTAAGAGATGTATTAGAATACATTTCTTTCTAAAAATTCTGTACATTTTACAAGATCTATTTCTATCTACCTTCTGTCTGCCTGTCTTTTGTAGTTTTGGGTTACTCCTGTGCATATATATACCTGAGAAATAGACCCTGATTATCTCTAGCTTCCATGTGGAGTAGAGACTGCCCAAAGACACTTGGGACACTGGAGTTGAGGGGAGGTTGTGATTGAGTTTCATGACACATCCCAGACCTCTGACAGCAGTGAGCACAGTTAGGTGGCTGATGTTGTGACTCAGTCCCTGTATGAATATTCCTGGAGCAACCCAAACACACTCGTGGGATAGAGCACCTGACGTGATTCAGGAAGGTCATCTAATTAGTTTATATATTTTTCTCAGGGGACCTTCTATTTTTTTTTAAATATAATAAAAGGTCCATGCTTATGACCACAGGGGAAGGATACATTAATGTATGTAGCAGATGCGTAGTCACTTACATCTGTACACTTACTTTTTTGTGCTACTTTTTAGCCTTCTTCCCGGCGGCTTGGACTGTCCTGTGCCAACTGTCACACCACAACCACCACTTTGTGGCGCAGAAATGCCGAGGGCGAACCTGTGTGCAATGCTTGTGGACTCTACATGAAACTCCATGGGGTGCGCCACCTGTTTGCTCCTGTGTATATGTGTCTAGTCTCTCATTTGTACGTGGTGTCCATTAAAAAAAAGTCAAGGAGAGGGAATGAAAGTGAGGAATCTGATGTTCTCTATGTACGTTATTGAATTGAGGATGTTAATTATAATACAATTACCTTATATACCAGTAAGAAACCAGAAAATGCTGCCAATTAAACTGTCACGCACATCCATGGTAAGACACCCCAATTTTAGAAATAATAAAAAGTACTTCCAAATGAAATGAAAAATCTGCATTTTTAGAATCAAACGTAGTAGTGAGTTTTTTTTTAAAACTGTGTACTTAAAGAAAAAGCATAGAACCAACTAGAAATGCACAGTTAACTTTTTAATATGATCAGGTCCGTTTATGCAAAGGAACAATGATATATTCGGTAGTCCTAGTTAGCAACATCTTTTGAAGGATAGCATGAAATACTATAAACACATCAATCTTAAAAAGGAAATTAACCTTGTATGTGTAGGAGGAAGAGAATACACAATCTCCTTGAAATAAAAGTGCGTGCCCAGCGGTTCTACTCTGCAATTGAAGTTGTTAAAAACGATAAACAGTTAAGTTGAAGGAAAACTTTTCCCTGGCAAATCATCTCATTTTTCTCCAAAGGAATCTGCATTTGATAGGGAAAGTATAGTCTGTACATTTTGGGGGATCTGTTGAGCATGTATAAAAATTAGACTGAAATCGATGCCAACTTCTTTTCAATGAGGGCTTTCAGTACTGATGTTGAGTTCTTCGGTTAAAGTTGGATTTTTCTTCAATATAATATTTATTCAACTTAAAGCCTGTATGAAAATTTTTTTAGGTGCCTCGACCTCTTGCTATGAAAAAAGAGGGAATTCAAACCAGGAAAAGAAAACCTAAGAACATAAATAAGTCAAAGGCTTGCTCTGGTAAATAAAACGCTATTTTATTGAAAGGTATTGGCCAACTGTAAGACTAGAACATGTGTATATTGATGAGGTTAATTTTGACTGTTGCAGGTAGTAGCAATAATTCTGTTCCTATGACTCCAACTTCCACCTCTTCAAACTCCGATGACTGCGGCAAAAATACTTCCCCTACAACACAACCGACAGCCTCAGGGGTAAGTGTGAAAGCAGCGCAGAGTCTTTCAAAGCTAGTGGGTTGCTCCGCTGCATATTATCTCAACTTTTATCTTATCTGGTAGTACAATAATCTAAACCAACAGTTCAGTTTCGTTAGCTGATACCTAAGAATCGTTTTCAGAAGAGATTACATTTGAATGTCAACGAAATGACAGACTTAAGTACTTTACAAACCTCTTAATTAAGATCTATATCATTTTTTTTATGGTTAAATTAACCCAAGGAAAAGCAAGAAGTTTTGGTTTGAAGTGCTTGAAGTTGTTTTATTTCCACGTGACTGTCTGAGCCGCTGTATGTATGTATTTCTGATGGAGATCAGAACAGCTATGAACTCTGAGGTTTTAATGTAGGTCTGTGCCCATGGCCTTTATATGGCTTTTGCTTATCACAGCGACTCCCATCTTTTTTTCCCTTCGTTGTTCTCTTCCTTCCCTTGCTATTCATTTATTTATTTATTTAAAACAAAGCTTAGCATTATGTATTCTCTTGCGACATATTTACTGATCATCCTTTACCGGCTGGCCCCTTGTGGGGGCTCTGGCCTTGTAATGCGCCTTCATGATAACCAGGCTTGCTTCAGCCTTTGCCCAAGCTTGGTTTGTGAGGTTTGTAAGTAATTCATGCTCCTAAGGGTAAGGATGCTGGGGGCTTTGTGAGGATCCCAGTTTCTGTAAAGGTGTGATTCCCACCCTAAATTTGTTTTCCAAATTTACCTGGAATGCTCTTGAAGAACAACCAGGCCTTACTTACCCTAGGCCTCCGTGGGACCTGGGATCCCGGCCCGGTCTGGGCCACAGGACTTAGCAGGCCCTGGTGATTTTTTTTTTTTTTTTTTTTTTTTTAGAATTATGCTAGTTTAAGGCAAAACACCAGCATTAAAACCTGTATTTACTTAGTAATTGTTTTTTTGTTTGTTTGGTTGGTTTTTTTTGTTTTTTTACGTGTAGCTTTGTGTAGCTTTGCCCTGTTCGGGGTACTTTGAAATGCTACAGATTCCTGGGCCCCACCCTGGATTTTCTGAGTCAAAGTCTCTGGGGTGGGGCTTGGAGAATTGTGTTTTTGAACCAGCGCCCCAGGTGAAATTGAAACTTGTTGCCCTCGAGGTGTCTTCTGACCTGGGTTTTGGAACCACAGAGCTGGTTTCTTTTTGTCGTATTTTGAACGGCTTAGACAAGCAAAAATGAAACATTAAAAAAAATTAAATTTGATATTTCTGTTGGTCCTCCATCCCAAATTCTTTTCGGCTTTTGCTTTTGCTTTAATGACCCAAGAAGTCCGTTCAGAATTTTCACAAGGCAAAAAAAAGCCTTTGGGTTGTTTTTCAGATAGATGTTAAAGAACCTTTGTAGCCTTTGTAAAGGTAAACTCTCGTGCAAGATGATGTTGGTTTTTGTTTTTGTTCTGTACAGAGGGTTAGGTGTAATTTTAAGAGTCTCAAGTGGTAAATAGAACAGTTACTTACGTGGAAATGGAAAAATAAAGATTATTTATTCCTTATGTTCTAAGTCCTCAGCAGCACTTCTGTAGCAGCTAAATGAGGCAGAACGAGGTCCTGCTTTTTGAAAGCGCTGGGGGATCAGCCATCGAGGTTTTCGGCTTGGGTGTCAGGCTGTTCAGCCCAACTGCGGATGGCTGCAGGCTTCTGGTCACTTGAGTTTGTCAAGGTCAGCTGAAGCTTGGAAAAAGCCAGATTTGAATGATAAATGGCACAGGAATACAGGTATTTGCCCAACAATGGACTTGGGGACGTGTCGTTCCTTTTGCTTTCCTGGTTTTGTGATGTGAAATTTCAAGAAGAGCCCTTTGTGAGGCTGATCTGTCCTCCTCCGAGGGAGGAACAGTGGGAAGTCAGTGACGGGGTCTGGCTGTGGCCTTGCTTGCAGGAGGGACCTTGGGAGCTGTGCCGGCCGTACCCCAGCGGCTTGACTGGGCATCTCCTCTCCCTTGAGAGCCTGCATGCTGGAGACAGCTTGCTGGCCCTCGCCCTTCGGAGGAATGCTCCATTCTTTGCTAGAGGCCAGGCGGCAGAGCAATAAGGATTTTGGAGGTTGGTGGAGTTGGAGAGCAGTTCCATGCACCGTCTTGTGCTGTAAGCCCCCCCAGCACTTCTTAGCCCTGGCAGCCTCTACCAGAGCCAGCCCTGTGAGCCGCTGACTGCGGGGCAGGGTGTGTGTGTGTGTGTGAGAGAGAGAGAGAGAGAGAGAGAGAGCGAGCGCTTGTGTGAGCCCAAGCCACCTCAAAGGTTTCCTGACACCTTTTCCCAGGGCAGGGGTGCAGATTACCTGCCCTCCTCTCCCTACAGGGACCCCACTCCCCCAGGGTTCTCTCACCCATTAGTCCATCACAGATGGCTCCAGCAACCCCTCTTTGACAGGGCTGTCCTGGAGAACAGGCCCACATGACAGAAAGAAACCAGTGTGCTGCCTGCCTTTGGGAACTGTCCCCCTCCATGAATAATGGTCGTAGACCCAGGCGGTCTCCCCAGGTGACTACCGAGGAGTGCCAGTGTGTGTGCCCCATGGTCCCTGAGGACCTTCAGTGCCTTCTCTGGGTGGGTTGGGTCTTGGCGTGTGTCTGCAGGGGACCTTGCTGGGGGAGTTGTCTGTGAGCTGTTGGTGGAAGCATTTTGGAAAAGGTGGCTGTGCTGACAAGATGGGTCATTTTCCTCCCATTTTGGTCACAGTTTCTATAACATTGGAGGCGGCTGGTGTGGTAACTGGATGATTATAGGATTTGGGGAAGTGCTATAGGTGAGAAAAACAGTTCCATGCACATAGCAAGGATGTGCCTGGTACTCAGCACACAGTGCCCTGGTTGGCTCAACCTTTAAGCCTCCTTTGATGATGGGCCCATCCCATTGATCTCCAGTGGCCCCTGTGGCTGACGTGGTGGAAATTTGTAGTTCAGGGTTATTTCACTTGAATAGGGTCATCAGAGCTACAAAACAAAGGCTAATCTGAGGCATACTCCCAGTGGAAGACAGGAAGGGGAGGGCACATGATGTAAGTGACAACTTAATGATCGGAACAGCAAGGAAGTCAAAGATGGTTGCAGTGGTCCAAGGCAGACCTGCTGTTCTTTTAACTACCCCCGCCCCTCCAGAAAGCAGCATAGGAGATGGTCAGTAGTAGCCTTCCCAGCAGGCTCCTTTAAATCCTGATATTCCTGCCCTGCCCTGCATGTGGGGGCACCAGGTTCCCATGGCCGGTTCCTGAGCTACCCTGGCAGGAGCTGAGTGTTCTGGAGGGAGGGTAGTTGTCTGCTGCTGTGAGCAAAGGCTTGACAAGTGTCTCAGGGTCACATAAACATTTTTGCGGTGCTCTGAAGCCTCATGTCTTCCCTTACTTACATACGATAAAGCTACAATGCTTTAGCTTTCTTTCTGTATACTTACTGCTAATTTGTGTTTCAATTTAGACCTCTTGGAAAAAGAAGACATCCTCCTGATGGTCATCAGGTTGCTGACTTGGCTAACTTATGACACAGTTTTGTGCACTCTTTTTTTTTTAATGACTCAGTTTCTCTCTCTCTGTTTTCTGTGTGGTGTGTGTGTTGGAGATGGAGGGAAGGCAGTGTGGTTTTTTTCTCTTGAGATTGGGAAGGCTGACTGCCATGCAGCCTCGTATTAAAATAGCCTCTGTCTTGTTCTTTAAATTCTTGTGTTTGTTAAGAAACGTGTTAAACTTAAATTTTGGTAGACAGTTGATGAGTTTTGTGCCTTTTGAACTTTATAGATACATTTTCCAAGAAAGGTCTTATGCGGTAAAATTTTCTTACACATAGAGGTTTACTGAAAAATAGGTATTCGGTTGACTTAAATAGAGAACATTTTCTTGGCATTTATATTCTCTGGTGTATTAATTGTAAGAATATTTAAATCGTTCCTTGAATTCCATTTATTGACTAAATTACATTTTATAGGTTTTTTTTTTTTTTTTTTTGGTTGTTACTTTGGAGGCAAATAGGGAACATGTTCTGTTTTCGCAATTCCCAAATTACATTTATTTGTTTTCCAAATAAGATTCAATAATCTATAAATACTCTTACCCCTCCTGTGATTTGTAACTAAAAATTAATAAAACTGGAGAATTAACGCTACATATATGTAAAATATATATATTGTGTATGTGTAATAGATATGTATACTAGGTAGATATCATATAAGTTTATATATATGTTTTGTAGCTCAGTCCCCAAATTTTATAAATAAAAGGTATTTCACAATTTCCTTTGTGACGGGAAGAATGAATTTGGGGACGAAATTAGCAGTAAGACATAATGCTTGCGAATAAGAAATCAGTGAACATACTTGCCTGCCTAAAAGTAGTTCCATAAATAATTACTCTAAAAAAATTAAAAGCTCCTTAAGTTTATTATTAAAACTGCAACTATAATATTGAAGTCACCATGAAACATCCAACATCCAACATTGGAATAAATGGAGATGAACTCTGTCAGATTAATCCTTGCTTTATGGTCCTTGCTGGATTTAAAAAGTAACTGAGCCCTGGAAGGCGGTGCTTACAACGGAGTAAAACAAGGTACCTGATCTCAAGATTGTTGCTAATGTGGTGGGTAGGGGTCGGGGAGCATGTCGTAGAGACTGACTGCCTGTCAGATGTGGAAAGTGCCTTAAATGAGGGTCACCTTAGGGTAGGAATGGAAAGGAGGGAGCGGTTAATGCCTACCGCATAGTGGGAAATGGCTGCTCAGAGTGCATTTGAATGAGTGGAATAGGACTTTCAGGGCAAAGGAAACGCTGGGCTGGAGTGCTCCAAAAAGGAGCTTGGGCATCTGCACTACTTTGAGGACATAGTTGTTAGTGTCCGGTGTTGCTGGAGCATCGGGTGTGGAGCCAAAGGCAGGAGCTGAGATGATGGGGTGAAGAAGTGGAAGGTACACCTTTGAAACAGGCAGAAATCAATAAAGGCAGCCTTAAGTGGGGCTCAGAGTGCCTTCATTTCTAAATGTGGACTTT